CAATACTGTCCAGTTTCTGCTTTGACTATCCTTGGGAATTAGTAATTACTAGTATTCTGAATAATTCTTTTACAATATTGTCATAATCAGCAACCTCAAAGTTATACTTTAATTTTCTTAACAATAACTTTAAAATATTCCAGTTATAACAAATCTCTTTCTCTCTCTTTGTATGTATATATATATATATAGTTATATATACATGTAAATAAGAAAAAATGCAAATAATAAAATTATAAAAGTTATAAAAACCAATTGTAGCATTAATAATGAAGACAACTTGCCAGAAAAATTTCAGCTTTGTTGATGTGGGATTTCCCTCTGTATGCTGTGATTACCATTAATGAATAAAGAAACTGCTTTGCACCTAAAGCAGGGCAAAACTTAGTTAGAAGAGTGAAATTAAACATAATGCTGGGAGAAACCTGGGTGGAGTTGGGGAGAAGCCATGGAGTATCCACTGGAGACAGACTTGCTGAAACTTTGCTGGTAGGCCACGACCTCGTGGTGATGCAAAATAATGGAGATGGGTTAATTCTAGATGTAAGAGCTTGCTAGGAATATGCTTAAGTAATTGGCCAAGCAGTGATTTAATTAATACAGTTTCTGTGTGATTATTTCGGAGCTGCTGGGCATCCAGGAAACAAACAAGTGGGCTCTGTCCCTCCAGCACTTTGTGACTGAGTTTAATTAGCAAATGAGATATAATGCACTTTATCTCTCCAATCTTGTCTTTACTCATGCAGTACATATAGCACTTTGCAATAGGGAGCCTTTTGGTGTACTTAAATGGACTTAGAAGTGAGAAATTGCAGTGACTGAGGGCTGACTGGCTACTTGCAGAGGGATGGAAGCATAAATGACAGCCCTTCTGAAGGACAGTAACATGGACTCTATCTTATTCAGTATCTTTCCTAATGATGTGGAAGGAGAAACACACAGTGTATTAATTAAATTTGACAGGGATGCTGAACTGCTTAGCAGAGTGAACCTGGAAGGTTTAGAAACATGGTGAGGAGATAGAAGAAAAATAGTGTGGAAAAATGAAAGTAGTGCATTCTGGGAGAAATAAGCTAGGAGAAACAGTCAGGGATCTCAAAACCAGACTAGGACACAGTTAGGGAAATAGAGATGGAACGGCTACAGCATTTTATTTTCCCAAAAGGAGCACTGAGCAAGACTCCTGTGCGTTTCCTAAGGCCAGAAGCTGTGACCCTCGTAAGGCTTCAGCGAGTTAAGCTATCTGAATCTCAGTTTCTACGGCCCTTACTCACACAGCTCTGTGTCTTGACAATTCTTTATACATCACTGGACACTAAACTCATCACTTGGCCCTCCTATTTATCAAAGCTTTCTCCTATCTGTTTTCTTTAGAATGCAACAGCTTCTGTTTTCTTTATCTATAGCCAAGCAGGAGTTTCCTCCAGGCATGAGACTATCTTTCCATAAGGGTCAATTTATAATACACACACAAACACACACACACACAGACACACACACACACACACACACAGAGAGAGAGAGAGAGAGAGAGAGAGAGAGAGAGAGAGAGAGAGAGAGAGAGAGATGTGCACACATTATACCAGCTTTGTTTTTGTTTTAATAATTAATTTCTCTCTACTTTATCCAATGGAGCTTAGTTTCCTGACTTCTCATGACATTCAAAATTTGACTCTTCTAGGAAGATTACAGAAGTCTTTTATTTACCCCTTTTTATCTCTATACCACTTTTAAAAATGTGGCACACCTTCTTAGCTCTCTTTCATGGCCCAGGTTTTATCAACCACTGTTTAGTCGGTTGGCTAAATCATGTGGAACAATGTCAATAATATTGGTTCCAGTATTCATTTTATTTGTTTCGAGACGTGATGAAGATTTTAGTCATGGAGTATTTTCCAATCTGCTGATGAAGTTCTCCACAGAGTAAACATGAGACAGTGACCCATGGCATGTAGAAAATGACTTCTCTTGAGGAAACAACAGTATTCACTACTGATGCTTTGGGGCTGGGTTGGTGATCTGCAATGATTAAATAGGCCAGTGTTAGGGTCCTACAGACATACCAGCTGCCTGCTGGGAAGAATGCTATCAGGTGCAATTACTTAGATCTCTCTCCCTCAGCTCAAAAGAGAAGGATGGGAGCCAGTAGGGGCCCTCATGCATTTGAAATTTGTCTTCAAGTATTACCAAGTGTCTGTTTTTTAATTTGTTTTTTTTTGTTCACTTGTTTGTTTTGTTTTGTTTGTTTGTTTTATAATTTCAGCTTTGTTCCTGTCCGTAGAACTCCAGATCTGAATCAAATAAATATTTAGCAACACATCGCTCTCATTTCCAATGCCCTTTGCATTCTAGGGCTTCTAAAATTCTGCAAGTACATGATGAGGAAGAAAATATATATTAGCTTTTTTATCTGAAAACAGAATGAATTATGAAATAAGCCTTGGCTTATTGACTCAGCACACTTTTCTTAATTATTTTAGGGCAAGGAACTAAGCCCAGGAAACTTGTATTAGCACAGGCAAGTGCTCTTCCATGGACACACCCACCCAGAGGGCACTGTTGAATTGTTTCCGGAATTACAACCCTCCTCCAGTCTCCCAAATGTCTGCAATTAGAGCATGCACCACCCCACAAAGACAAACCTATCAGGTTTGTAGTGATTTGGGCTTCAGTAACCCTTGTAGTTTATTTAAGTCTTCATATTCATCTGCTTAATGGGCATGGTAACTGCTGACATATAAAATGTTGAAAATTTAATGGATCAAGAAGTTCAAATCTCTTGGTGTAAAAAGGTGCTTATTAAGAGCTATTAAAACGCAATGATCTGTCACTCATCTTCTCGGAAGCCCCCTGTATCATGTTTGCAAAAGGTAGATAATATTGATAATACCTTGATGTTATTTGATATCTTCTTGAGAGAGTTGGCTCAGAATTGAATGACCGTGAAGGCAGAAGCATCTCAATAATACAGAGCTAATGAAATCCCAAATGATCAGTTGCATTTGCTGGTCCAAGGTGCTGTAGCCACATACCTGGAGCTTTCTTCCTCAGTTTGATTTGAAGAGAGCAAATATGTCCCAGATTAGCTAAGAACATCAAGAATAACCCTAAGAGGACTTTTGCAAGCTCTCAAATATTTTTCACATTTGCATTAAAGTTGGTCACCAGAAGGATTCTCTTATCCTCCAGGACAAGGTTGATGGGCTTTGCTTGGACAGGGCCAGTCAGTAAATATCATAGGCTTGGCAGGTTATATGGTGCTTGGGGCAAGTATTTGTTTATGACCTCATGGTGCAGAAATATCCATGAGTGTGTTTCAACAAAATTGTACTCAAGAGTTCAGGCGGAAACCCACAAAGAATCAGTAAAAGGTTAAAATAGAATAAGTAATCTGTTTGTGGGGTATCTATAGCCTGTGGTCAACAATGTTGGAGTAATTCTGATCATGTATTGAGATTCCTCTGAATAAATCTAGGAAGTAATGGGGCGATCTCTCCCTATCCTAGTTCCAGGGATAAAGAACTTTGAAATGAGCCCAACCTACTTGGAAAAGTGTATAAATGGTTTCATTCATAAAGAAAGACGGGAAGATGAAGGCTACAGGAAACCTGGAGTGAGTGTTAGGTTTGTGCATTGACCGGGATGCTATCACTTGGGTTTTTCTCTCAAGCCACTGCTCCAGGGTCCTGCCTGATCTCTGGACTGAACTTGGGCTAGGGGATCATCACTCTCATACACTTCTGCAAGCCAGTTTCATATTCTTTTACCAATAGAACATGCTTGAGCGAGTTCGGGAAGGCTAGAACAAAGCAAAGGGAATGAGTAAATCTCCAGAGGATGAGACTTGTGAAGAGCACTTCTGGTAATTACAGTGATTCAGCGTAGAAAGGAGAACACGCAGCCTTGAAAGAGCTTTAGCTATTATATAGTCTTAATGCCCTCGGAGACCATTTATCTCGGTGGTCCTCTCCCTACCCCCTCATCTTCTTTGATTCTTTCTGAACTTGTTACTTGAGAACCTACTGAACTTAATGAGATTGGGGCAGTTCAAGGGGCCATAGAAAAAGAGTTTGACTCCTTAGACACATCTTTACATACCAGCAATCCCTCAGGAGACAAATAATTATTCTCTAAATCAAGAAACTGGGTCCAGTAGACACCATACAATGTCTTCAAAGGCACTCAACCGTCTGATGACCAAGCTAGACTCAGATGTTGAGACTCAAAGTCAATGGCGTCTGTGTAGATACCATTGTGACCCCTAAAATGTCTTATTGAACGGTGTTTGCAGTTATCAGTGCTCTGTGTCTTTAATGCCTCTCTTTATTCTCACGTTAGTTCTGTGAGGCAGGTGGCCTTGTAGGCTGTGCTTTAGTGAATGTTTTAAATACTAACAAGGTTTATTCATTTTCCCCTAAAAATTCAGTTAAATTTATTCAAATGGGAAAAAAATTCTTAAAACTGTGTTTAGCATCAAGACCCTTTGGTTCTAAAAACTTACCAGTTGTTGTGAATGCAAACGAGCCAGCCCTGAAGGCATGAGAATGGGAGAATTGACCAAGCCTCTTGCTGCCTTCTGCATTGAGTGAGACAGGGCAGTGCTGGAGGGCTCACCCTGGTGGTGAGGACAAGGGAGAGCTGGCAGACTGACCAACCCAGCTAAAACCTGAGCCCAGAACAGGGCTATGAGTTGGCCCAACCCAACATCCACCCCATCTATGAACTACTGAAACTCGTAAAGAAGCTGGTGCTGCAGATCCAAAATTGCAGAGCCTCCGTGAGATAGAGCAATAGTGGGATATCCAAGAGGAGTTCCAGTGTGGGCCCAGTATCAATAGTGTAGCAGAAGCCTGAGGCCCTGAACCAGACCAATGACTCATTGTAGTGAATACTTGCCAGTGAAAATGTATGGAATAAAGGGTATATTCTGTGACTTACTGTGCCACACAACAGCTCCTATGATGATATTTTTTCTTTAAATTTTACCTGATCTTATTGGGGGGAGCAGGAGGTTACAAGAGCAGAAAACAGATACGAAGGGACAAGGAGATGAAAGGGATTGGGATGCGTGACCTAAAATCCACAAAGAGTAAGTAAAAGGTTAAAATTAAATAAATAAATAAAATTCATCAGTGTTTCTAAGGCTGGAAGGTTTTTATGTTAACAAGACCAGTTTTAACTTTGGATTTTTAAAATAAATTTTAGAGAACAGAGAGAGGAAAACTAAGTTATTTACATAAGATATCTACATATGTACTAAGGCACAAATATGCTAACAGACTTCAAAAAATACTAGCATCTCAAAAGCGTCTTCAAAAGGTTCGTGTTATTAGATTTTCTCAACACCTAAGACTCTTCTCCGTCTTTTATCTTGGAGGCCAAATAGTATTTAAGTGACGTATGTCAGCAATTTTGCAAGAAGTACCTCTGCAGACACACTGGGTGTTACTGTAGGAGACAATGGATAGCTATTGTGAAAAAAGCTAGGGAACTCACTTCTTCATCTCTATGGTAACTGTTTTCTCCTCTTTATTAACATTACATGCTAGGGAAAATTTAACGTTCTTTTTTTCCAAGAAGTTCTCCACTTGCAGAAAACGTCCCCCAAGTTTTGCACCGGATATAAGAGCATCTCCAGTAAGATTGAAATCCCAGTATATTTGTGCAGATTCACGGGAAGGCATCTTTACTAGACAGCTGTACTTTTATCCTCGCGTTTCAAGGTGCTCAGCATCTAAATCCATTAACTCCACTTCATACTCTGCAGCTTCTCTTGATTTGGTGTTTCAAATACTAACACTAAAGAATCCTATCATCCTCATTTCTTAGTGTAATGAGGTGTAGCTACCACCATGTTTTAGTATTTTGGAATCCTAGTGAGGAACATGTTCATGAACAGTCTTTTGTAGACATGGTACCTATCAGAGACTTTGGAGCTCAGGGTACCAAGGACACAGGAGACTCTATGCTTTTCAGGCTCAGACTCTCGAAGCTGTTGTCGCCGCAGTGTTCACAGATGACATCATTGAGGTTGAGTGGACATTTGAGCACCTCCAGCATCTTCTTCAGACTCTGCGCCAGTTAAGGTTTAGGCAGTGGCCGTGTCACAATGGAGACAAGGAGTGGAGGCTGGCCAACTTAGGGCTTGCAGGTCCTGAAACAAAAGCAGTGGTAAAGACCGCCACACCACTGTGCTTACAACCACTTAAATGTACTATTGTGGGAAGGCAATGTTTCAACTTTCTGAACTCCATCTTCATTACGGACCCTTGCTATCCTACCTTGATATAGGAAGCAGAAGCTATGGAAATAGAGTCACTCCAATGAGAGAAAGTGTAGATTTTACAAATATGCACACACTCTGAAGTGCAGTGACTGACTCTTCAGGAGTAGGAGTCTGAAAAGGGAGAGAACGTGAACTGGCCTCAGTTGGATCTATTTTTGCCCCATGCCCTTTCTACTTGATCACCTTTGCAGAGACAACACGAGGAGGACTATTCACAGACATGGACTGGATTTTGGCTAATTGGGGAGACAATCTATAAAAGCAATCACATCTTTCTCACTCACTCTATAACAGAAGTCAGTTCTGGGTGTATATGATGAACATCAAGCACATTGCTGGATTATTTGCAGGCTAAGTGAGTTGTAAATTCCAAACACATAATTTATATGAAAGTCACTGACGTTATGGGGTACTCACTACATGTTAGACAGTGTTTCAAGTCCTTCACATGACCAACAAGTTCAGATTCTCACAACCTCTGCATCTTAAATTCATTTTATTTCTCTGTCACAATCAAGGAAACACAGGCATAAATAAAGAAGTTGGGTAAATCGCCAGCATCACACACTTTGGGAGTTTTTTGAATATAAGTATTCTGACTATAAATCTGTTTGAAATTGTTCTTAATTGAGACATAATTAGCCTTTGGTAAACTGCACATATCTGAAGCACACAGCATGGATAAGTTTGGCACATGTGTACACAGCTCTGAAGCCAGCAACACAACTAGTAGTACAACTAAGGTAACAGATCAACCTATCCCAGACCATGCCTTTCCTCTCCTGTCTCTCTCCATGTGGATGGCTTCACTCCAAGCCAACTCAGTCCCAGGCGATTGTCAGTCTGTTCTCTGGCTCTAGCAAACCGTCCATACTCTACAGAATTTTATATGTGATGTACCAATAGCATCTTTAGTATTTGGCTTTTTTTTTTCACTTAGGATAATTGCTATTGGATTCATTAAGTTTTTCACATGAATTGTTGGTGCCTTCATTACTGAATTGATTTCATATTTCATATGGCTACAATCAGAATTTTTTAATCCAGTTACCTATTGATGTATATGTGACCATTTTTAGTTAGGGGCTTTTATCAATGAAACTTCTATTAATAGTAATTGTTATTTATATTAACTTTTATATCTACTTTCCTACTTTTAACACACACAAAAAATCACCCTAATGTGATTTCACCTGTTGTGAAAGTAGGTTCAGAAAGCTTTAAAAGAAGTTAGGACCAATGGCTGTTCATGAAATTTCTAGTTGAAATTGTAGAATTTACAGGAGAAGGCCAGGCAGTCACATGACCTTGCTTTTTTTTTTCCTGGAAAAAGAAGAGAAGAAAAAGATCCCTTTCTATCTCCCATTCTCACATATGGAAACTTTCATATAGTAGAAGAGAAAAATAATTGGATAAAGGGGCCAACTTACTGGAATTTTCTTTACTGGAAAGCAAAGAACAACCTACTTGTCAAATTTTTCACCCTTTTCTGTTTCCACTGCAGCTATTGGTGACAAATGGCTGGTTCCAGCCACTTTCCCTGCCAAAAGTTAACCTGCAAGTCCCTATGACTTGGGCAAGAAATGAGTACCAGGATGCTCCCAGGGTCACTGAGAGAATTAATCTGATTTACATCTATTTCATTTCAGGGAAACAAATTTTCATCTGCTGCTTCTAAAATTTTCTCTGGGGGTGACGGCCCATTACTTTAAGTGAAATCCATCAGTCAAGCTGTGTTTAGAACACACAGTGGCTAACGAGGATGGACGCCAATAGGAGACATCGGAACTCGCAGATAACAAGATGGGAGAATGGGTTTGATGGAAGTGTAGACATGCGACTAGAGGATCACTTGGAACGAAGCCTGTCCAGCAGAGAACACACACTTGAGAAGTGCCTAAGACCCAGTGATAAAATAAAACGCCCAGATGGCGGGGAGAGACAAGAGGCTGTCTCCCAAAACGCGGAATGAAATATTCTTGGAGAAAGAAAAGAAAAAATAAAAATCTTGGGTCGTATGGAAGGTAATCTTTTCTGTTGAGTTGTCCTCTCTTGTAGGATTTACACACACTGATTTGACACACATAACCCGAGAGCAATGTCTGGAGGGTCAGACAGAAAATTAACTGTGTCTGTAAAGCCGTATCTTAGAAGGCCCAAGAAACAGGAGTCTGAAGAGCATTCAGCTGTGAGGAGCCAGCTCTGCTCTTCTGAGTTATTTTATATACAAACCACAGTTTATTCTCCTTCCGTTCTTCCTGTTCCCTCCCTCTACCTCCCATCTATCTCCTCATCCACTCCTCCTCGCTTTCAAGAAGAGGCAGGCTTCCCATGGGAGTCAACAAAGCATGTCATATTGCTTTGAGACAGGACCAAGCTCCTCCCCCTGCATCAAGGAGGGGCAAGGCATCCCTGCATGTGAACTAGGTTCCAAAAAGCCAGCTCATGTGCCAGAGACTGGTCCTGATCCTACTGTTAGGGGCCTCACAAACAGGACTTCTACTAATGATTGTCCCTGCTCAGGAAGCAGTGATTTATTTGTGACTTGCTACACGTCTTTTAATATTTCTGGCATAGACACATTTTCAAATTCATACATGGTTACTTTCTACTGCAGATTTGCCTTGTCATCTGCTTAGGACGCCACCAACCACTGCTTATGATTATGACTCTAGATGTTAGGACGGTGTGGGAAGAAACTCTGGGAGAGCTGTCAAGTAAGCGATTAAACCATCATGATTAAAATATTTCATAAAAACTATCGTTGTGAGGGGTGACTTTGCTTGATGGGAAAGGCCAAGAAGAGGAGTAGCGACTGCCTGAAATTATTTCCATATCCTGACTGAACTCACCTGGCCTTCCAGAGAACCCTTAAATTGCTGTTTCAATCTTGATTCTCGCAGCTTTATCACAGGAAATGTAAAACGTGCAGCCCTTGCCCTGTAAACAGGGTCAGTGTGGGGAGGAGCGTGAGATGCAGGTCTAGTAGGAGACAAAGTTCAGTTAACATTAAGAGGCTTCAGTGAAGACACCAGCTGCACAGGTCAGGGCTCAGAAAGCAAGGGGTAGAGGAAGGGCATCTAAGCATAAAGCACAAGTGAGTGACAATTTAAATTGCAGCAATGGAGGGAAACATTAACGTCAACAGCCACCTAGTTGTGAAAGCAACAAAATAGAGTTGGCAGCTGTCCTCTTTCCTCCTGCCGGTCCTTTTACTCCTTACTCTTCCTGATCTCTCCCATTTTCCGAATCTGCTTTTCCCTCAAATCCATGTGCTTCTCACTCGCAATATATATTTTACATTCAGTATAGCAATTAATACAAGAGAACCAGAAACGCTAGCGAGGAACTGTCAAGTGGTAGCCAGAGGCATAGCAGGCAGAAGAACCTGGTGAGGAAAACATAGGGAAGGACGTATATTGGTTGCCTTTTGTGCCTATGATAAATTACCATTCCCAAAGGCAATTTATAGACGGAAGAGTTTTAGATTATGAGTTCAAGTGCAGAATGCAGGGGAGGCGGGGGAGAAGGGCCAGGGCTTGAAGCTCAGAGACTAAGTCTGAACACAGAAAGCCAACAGATCAACCTGGAAACGGGATGAAGCTGCAAATGGCTGAAACCCACGACAGGTGTCTCACCTATGTCAGCCAATCTCCACACACTATAAGGTCCATCACTTCCCCAAATAATGCTACCAGCTGGGGACAAAGTGCTCAAGTACATGAGCCTATGGGATGCTTTTCTTATTCAAACCACCACATTCTAGGCAAGGTATGTTTGAGCTTGGGTGAGGACAGAAAACCCTCCAGGAAATAAAAAAAATGACCTGGGACCGGAGACGAGAGGCGTTGAGGGTTTTCACAGCTGCTGATGACATCCTTCACACTCTCACAGTGTCTTTTTAACTTTTAAAGACAATGGCAGATGGTCCCAAAAGAAAGGGAAATAGGGGAGAAAATCCCACAAAACATAATCTCTTTAATTTGTGCTTTTGCCCCTCTCATGCCACACAAAGAAGAGAAATAGCAGCTCAACGCCTGTTGGTAAGTTGCCATGGAGACGGCTCCCACGTGACCTCCCGTCATGCTGCACCACTGCAGGAACCTCCAAACTTAATTATTTATTAATAGGCTTTTACCAGGGCAGTCTCCAGAGGTGGAACATCTTGTTTCCATGGCAGGGACAGCGGTGAGAAACGGAGGGAGAAAATGGTAGGCAATTACAGGGAATTAATTAGAAGCTCTGTAAACGCCCTGATGAACATGCTTTAGGATAAACCGTGGTGGGATCTGAGGGCACTGATGTGTCAGGGGAAAGCGAAAGTGAGCAGCAGGACTCCGATAATCCGTTCTCCTATGGCACCTGAAGAGCCTCCCACACTATCTCTCTGGGAGCCAGAGTCTCAAGATGGAGCAGTAAGCCGTATATTCTAGGAGTAAAAGCTACCTATCTTGAATAAACAAAATATACACAGATGGATATATATACAATACGTAATGTTTCAATCTTTGCACAGATTGCCCAGCATAGCACAATAGATGGACCTGGAAAAAGCAGTTCATAGTGAAGTGCTTAGAATGCCTATGAATTAGAGGACACGGTATTTGACATGCATGTGGATGGGCAATGTGATCCTTTGAGCACCCACTCACATGTGCAATTACATGTGAGATTATCCTTTATGTTTAAGGCATAGGAACGGATATGCACCAGTAAAGGTAGTGTTGAATATAAACTTTGAATATGAAATGCACTCCCCAACTCCCGTACTCATGTTCTGATGATTTTCTCCTCAGCTGATGGGGTCAGCTTGGACAATTGGTTAAGGGTGTTTAATTGCCTTTGAGGATGGGGGCTTCCCTGGCAGCACTAAGTCAGTAGAGATGAGCCTTCGAAGGTTACAGCCTGACTTTTATTTCCTGATCTGCAGCATCATGAGGCGTCTCTGCCATGCATTCCCTCCTTGTGGGAATTTTTTCCTGCTTTCCTCACTGGGATGCATTGAGACACTCAGAAACCGTGAGCCAAGATAAACCTCTTTTCCTTGGCTTCTCACAGGTAGTTTGACCATAGTGATGTGAAAGTAACCAATACAAATAGGAAAGTGGTTTATGAAATTGTTAATGAATTTGCTGGTTCATCTGGCTTTTCCTTCATTCAGGCACAGAACTATTTATTCATATTCTCAGATCTATGTCATAGTATGCATATCTAACAGTTACTAATTTGAATATCTTATAATTACTCAATTGACTGTCTTATAGCCCAGTCCATCTCTGGGGACATCCCACAGAAGCTTATCCCCGGGCTCCTGAATGACTTGCATATCATTCATCTGCCCAGAGAATCTCCTCTTTCAGTACTGTTACTGCTTTCATAGCACTGGCGAGGGTTGTGTGAATCTTCTAAATTTTAGGAGCTTCCTGGGGTTTTGATTGTTGCTTACTTTCTTGAGCTGTGTATGTTTTATTTACTTCTTGATAAGCGCCCATTTTCACTCCAAAGAGGAAATGTCTCCTTTCAGAGGGAATCACTACAAGACACCTACCCACTTTAAGATCTCAGAATCCACGTGGAATAGTCAGTTCATTTTGACGTTGTTTTATGAGACTAGCACACAGAACCTGGCCTCAGTTTCAATGGTGAGTTATACTCGTTGTTGAATGGCAGATTTATTTTGTGTAAGTAAATTTTTGGAAGTAAAATGGAAACGTTTATTGGTTGTTTTGTATTACTGAAACAAAAGCACTTGAAGCTGGTTAATTTATATTAAAGGAGAGGTTTATGTAGCTCACAACTTTGGAGGTTCCAAAGCATGCCTCTGAAACATCCTTGGCTCTGATAAGGGTTCCCTTAGGTCAGTCACAATGCATGCATCATGGTAGGAACCTGGCAGTAGGTAGATGAGTGTGAAGGGCAATCCCATGGTGGGACAGGAGTCCCTGAAGTTGGGTTGAGGATAGGCTTGCTGCTTTGTGCAAGACATATCAGGATCTCAGGAGAACTAAGCTTAAAAGCTGTCACATCATGATGCAATGGCTTTGTCGCACCAGGAAAATAACATTGTATATGCTTTCTCTACATGCTTGTTTCCGAGCCTTATCCAGAGTGGGAGAAATGGCTGCCTGTTAGGATTGAGCACTCAGCCTTCACTTATTCTCAATGCCTTGGGCAGTCACGAGTCTTGGCAGTCAGCACAATCTATTACAAGGGGAAGGTTTTCTGATTTAGATGGAGAGTAGAGTTAAGACTAGGGGCGTGAACATAAATATCTAGAAGGCAGTTTGACACCATATCAGTTTAGTTATGCAGCCGTAGTAAGCTCTCTTTCAGAAATTAAGATCTCTTCATCCATGACTCTTTAATCAGGATTATCACACCAGGCATAAATTATCTTTTTCGTGAAGCAGGCCACAAATCCAATCAGAGAGTTGTTATTTATCCCCATCACAGCTGTGCCACAACTGCAGCAGTGAACACATTTTTCCTAAGAGGTAACTATTGTTGATAGGGTTCACGGATGGGTAGGACCAATAATGCGTTTCTACCCCATCACTTTGCACAGTAGTCTCTGATCCTCCGAAAGCTAGGTATGAAGATAGAAGCTCCCAGCTAACCTCTGAATATTTTTACTTCTATCTTGCAAGCATGTGCACTCATGTACCTGTACAGACACCACCCAAATGTATAAACACATGTATACACACATGCACAGGCTGAAACTGAAACTTCTATTTCCCTTGCTTATCAATAAAGCTTCTTATGTAATTAAGTAAAGACTGACAATAAACACAGGGCACTCTATTGTATTTTTGTGGAAGAAATACACTGTAGGTATCAAAATAAACAAGATTTGCTATCCTTTGGTTGCTTATTTTATAATGCTGTTTACATATATTAGCTCTAATACCCAAAACAATATGGGATAAATATAATTATACATAAGGTTTCATCATAAGGAATTTGGGCTTCAAAATATTAATTAACAGATCCAGTGTCCCAGAGTAGCTTAGAAAAGCTAAAGAAGAAAATTAAATGGATTGTCTTTAGCCACAAAGCCAGCATTGATTCAACTGGACACTAATTCAATCTCACATCAATTTCCTAGTTTCATAGTTAAGGAAATGAAGACCAAGATATTTCAGCAAATCCTATATGCATTGCTGATCAAAAGATCTTTATGAATCAGGAAGAGTTTGATCAAGAGCCTTTTTTAAAATTAATAGCTATCCTCATAATTAACAGCATGCCTTTAAAATAATTCTCATTGAAGTCAGGAGTGTTGCAAAGACTCATGCATTTTCAGCCATTGTTTAGCATCGATCTGAGATTTGGGGGAAGCAAATGAGGAAGTGAAAATTAAGATGGTGTTTTAAGAAGCAGTAGGGAGGATCAAAAGTTCAAGGTGGCTTCTCAATAGATTCGTATGAATCAGAGAAATTGTTCTAACAAATCAAACAGGAGAATTAGGAATTGTGCATTCATTTCACATCCTGAACTCAAAGTCATGATTCTGAATGTGTAAAGGAGTCCAAACCGAGAAAATACTTTTGACAAAGAAGAACAAGTTAGAGAACTCAAGTCTTTTGACTTTAAAATTTATTTTAGACAGTTTTAATACATGTATTAAGATAAACATAGACTGAATTTGAAAGATTAGAAATATTTTATTATTTTTCTTTTCTTTCTGTAGCCAAGGACAGATCAGTGTAGGAATGAACGGGAAATTTTTGCTGCTAAAAAGCTGAAATTACCGGATATTCACTGTAATAATAATATTAATAACAACAACAACAATAATAATAATAAGCTGTGTCTGGAAATATGGTAGCTTGGAGTCAGAATGATTGAGCAGCCTGTGCCCTGACTGAGTTAAATCTGCAGCAACAGAAAGGAGAAAAACCAAGTTGAGTGTTTTCCTTGCCAGTACAAAACATTCAGTAAAACATAGACCACAGATTTCAATGTAAAAAATAAGCCTATAAAACCATTAGAAATAGGTATGTCTTTTTATTTCTTTTTAATTTTATTTTCTCAATTCAAGCATGATTTGAGATGGAGCCCTTAAGCCTCTCAGGTGTTAGGAATGCAGGTCTGGGTTACCATGTCTAATATATAACAAAGATATAAATCTCTGTGATCTTGGTTTACGTAAGTCTTTCCTAGTTAAATCACCAGAGGTCAAGGTATATGAGGAATAAAAATATTAAACTTCATATAAATTTTAAAAATTGAGTTGTACATGATTCTGTCAAGAAAAATGAAAACAAACACACACACACAAAATATAAACAGGAATGAAGCCACAAAACAATTCTACACCAGTTAAGAATTATGGATAATAAAAGTGATTATTTATTTAAGGGGAAAAGCTTACAGATCACCATCCCAAACAACAGTCCTCTCATCATAAACAGGAAACTGAGAATCTTGCCGCCGGAATGGGAGACGAAAGCAAGAGAAAGAGCACCCAGTTCCCACTGCTTTTTAAAGTATAAGAGACCACACCCCAGTGGGCTGATATCCTAAAGGCTATTTGCTGAAGGAGCAGAAGGAGCTCCCGCAGCACAGGAAAAAATATTATCAAATAATCTGTATATTGAGAGATTGGTATTTAGAATGAAGTAAAGATTATTACAATACTAGACTAAGAAAGAAAAAAAAACTCTTGCTTTTTCCAAAGAATTTAGACAGGTATTCAGAAGTCAAATGAACATATCTGCAACATAATTACCATATAGGGAATTGAAAACTAAAATGACAATTAGATGTCATTCCTAACCCAATGAGAGAGTAGAACTGACAGAAATTCAAACCCTTATATATCAAAAATGATCGTGGCTCTTTGAGAAACATTTCACAGCTCCTTAGAATGTCTAGTATTGAAGGATCATATAATCTAGCAATTCCTCTCAAATATACACACATATGATATATATATATGATTTTTATATATAGTTATACATGTAGATATAGAGGAATAGAGATATAATTTCTAAATAGTGAAAATAATAACCAAACATTACATGTGAATATTTATAA